TCAACCCAATCTTTCTGGTCCGGACGGATGAGCGTACGAAGCATCATTTGAGCGGTTTGATGTGCCCGCTCCGTTTGCCCGTCTGTCTGAGGATGCCGAGCCGAACTTGGTTTCATTGTTGTGCCGGACTCCTGCATGAGAGCAGTCCAAAACGCCGACATGAAACGAGTGTCGCGGTCGCTGACAATGTCTTCTGGTACACCGTGGCCACAAATCCAACCAGTGTGCAGGAGGCGTGCCAGCTCGGGAGTCGTGGAGTAGTACTTGCAAGGGAGAAAACACGCGTACTTACTCAATCGGTCCACAACCGTGTGGATGCCGTCGTGCCCGAGTCGGTCGCGAGGAAATAGACCGGTGACGTCCATGGCAATGGAGAGACCGGGTTCCCGTGGGATAGGCATCGGGTGTAACTCGCCATAGGGATTGCGGTTGCGAGGTTTGCTGCGTCGACAAACTTCGCACGAGTCGCAATATTGAGTGACATCGGTAATGAGGTCGGGCCATCGGAATCGCTGTCGAAGCCGCGCAATAGTGTGGTTGACTCCGAAATGGCCGGCGAGTCATGAATCATGATACTCGCCGAGGAGGCGAGTCCGAAGACGACGGTCGCGTGGGACACACAATAAGTCCTTGCCTCTCGAGTGGAGGAGCAAGTATCTGTCGGCGATGCGATAGTGGCTGGCCGGCGGGTGATCCGACGATAGCTGTGCGTACAGCGTGGCGAAGTCCGGATCAGACTCATATGCCCAAATGAAGTGTCGCTGAAGCTCCTCGTCGAATGCGAAGGCATGATGTGTCATAGCGCAAAGATCTGGTCTTCGCGAGAGTGCATCTGCTGCGCGATTTGAGAGGCCGGGTAGATGTTTCGGTGTGAAGTCAAACTGGTCGATAAAGTACATCCATCGTCCGATCGTGCTGCTCACCGTATCCTGCGTCTTGTAGTAGGTCAATGGATTGTTGTCCCATGTGAACCTACGACGCCCAAGGAGGAAGTGCCGCCATCGCTTGAGAGCCATGACGAACGCGAGTAGCTCCTTCTTCCTTGCATCATCAAGCGAGTTGATGGGAGGCACTTTGTGGCTGAAATACTCCACAGGGTGCCAGTCGTCGCCGTCGTGCTGTTCCAAGACTGCCCCAATGCCATAGCCGGAAGCGTCCGTAGTCACTCTCGTCGGCAAGGTGGGGTCATAGATGCTGAGGACGGGTGCCATGAGCATGGTCGTCTTAAGTGCTTGGAATGACCGGCGTGCGTCGTCATCGAATACGAATGGCACCTTTGGCGACTGTAACCTCGTCGTAGGTGCTGCAATCCTCGAGTATCCGGTGATGAATCGCTGATAGTAGCCCGCCAATCCCATGAATGAACGAACGTCCGAGGTGTTGGTGGGCTCGGGCCATACTCGTAGGGCCTCGATCTTGTCCGCGATCGGACGGATGCCTTGCGGTGTCACATAATGTCCCAAGTACTCCAACTCCTGTCGTGCGAATTCGCACTTGTCGCGGTTGGCCTTGTACTTGGCTTGTCGTAGCTGCTTTAAAACGGTGCGCAGGTGTTCCACATGCTCCTCTTAACTCCGGCTGTAGACCAGAATGTCGTTGAGGTAGATAAGTACGAAACGATCCAGCATGTGTCGGAACTCCATTGTCATAGCCGCTTGGAAAGTGGTCGGGGCATTCGTAAGGCCAAATGGCATAACCAGCCATTCGAAATGCCCATATCGCGTCTTAAACGCGGTCTTGTAACAGTCCTCCTTGTGAATCTCGAGTTGGTGATATCCCGACTTGAGGTCCAGCTTGGAGAAAAACTTGGCGCCGCCCAATCGCTCGAGAAGGTCGTCGATGCGTGGGAGAGGGCCGGCGTTCCTGATTGTCTGCGCGTTGAGCTTGCGATAATCGATGCACAACCGCAGGTCCTTGTTCTTCTTCCGGACGAAGAGAACAGGAGCACCGTATGGCGATGAGCTAGGCCGAATCCAGCCTTTCTCTAGAAGGTCGTTGAGTTGTGCCCGAAGCACACTTAACTCTTCCTCGCTCATTCGGTAGATGCAACCGCACGGAGGTACGGCCCCGTCCTCGAGGATGATCTCGTGGCGGATGGGTCGATCCGGTACTACTACGTGCGGGCCTTCGAACAAGTCGCTGTAGGCGTCGAGAAGCTCGGTGATGCGTGGATCCGAACGTGAGTCCGTCGATGAAGCGTCATGGGGCGGGAGGGCATGGAGAAAACACACCCCCATCTCCTCGATGTCGTCTCTGATGATGGAAGCTCGCATGCTTGTGGCGGATACCACGTGGCAGTTGATCGAAGGATGAGGAAGAGGTACCGGCATGGAACTAATACTCCGTTCCGATCACGAATGTGAACGGTGCGGTGTAAGAAGTTCACCGGATGATCCTTGCTTCGCAGCCATGACATGCCCAAGATCATGTCAAATTTGGTGTCCAGAATGTCAAAGGACACCGCCTCACTTGCGTGAGGGGCAAAGTACACTGGGACGTTGTCAATGCACCGGTCGATTGACTTGTGCGTGTGACCGTCCGCCAACGTGACTTGCATAGGCTGGGACTTCCTCCGGACGCGTGGGCCAAGGCTGGCGCGCACCATGAAGTCCTGGCTGATGTGGTTGCAAGATGCTCCGCAATCGATCAAGGCGTTGCAGGTCACCTCTCCGATCTGAATGCGTACATATAGGAATGGTGCGTTGATGTCGTCGTACCGTTGCGTCTTGAACTCGCGGTCGATCTTCGCAATGTAAGCGTGAAGGTTGACAACCTCTACTCCGACGTCCATCAACGGAGCTGGTACTGCAGTGTGCAAGTAATCCCGCAGTTGTGCCATGAGCACATTGCAATGCGGTTTCGACAATCGTCCAGTCGAGGGAACGGGCATACACTGGAAGTCCGTGAACGTCAGTGGGTCGAGCACCTCAAGTCTTGACCATGACGATGAATCCCCGGCGATAGATGGTGGCGAAGCTGCCGAATCGGTTGCCGATGGTGATGAAACCGTGCATGCGATGGATTGTTGCACGTGGAGCGGTTGGTCCAGCGGTGGAACCAAGTGGACAACATAGTCCTCGTAAGTGTAACGAGAACTTGCGACATTCGCATTCTCCCCAGATGTGCAGGAGGCCGCTAGCAAGGCGGCCGAATCTGGCGGAGTAGAAGGTGGAGTCGCCTCACCTTTCGCGGAACTCAGTTTCCCGAGTTGAGGCGGGGTCGCACATCCTCTTTGCCCTGATCCTGGCACAGGGAGGTCTTGTGCTTGGTGCTGTTGCACCAATAGCAGCTGCCGTAGCGGCCGCGGACCTTGTATTCCGCCTCGGTCAAGCCGAACTTGACCCATGGAACTTGTACTGGCTGTCCATTTCTGGCCTGCGATGCGGATTTCGCCTTCCCATTGTTGCGGGACTTGTTGTTGCTTCGCGGCTGGACAGCAGCCACCTGATCTCCATCACTTGGTGATGGAGTGGCTGCTGGGTTATCTCTACTGTCCGACTGGACTGCAGCGAAGTGCTGCTGTCACGAACCAGTTCGTACCTTCTCCACATAGGTCGGCTGCCATGTTGATTTCTCGTGTGCAGCTGACCTGTTGGTCTTGATGATCTCTCCCGCCTTGTCGATAATCTCGGCGAAAGTGGAGTACTGCTCGCGATCACCAAGAGCCTGGCTCAATGCCGCACAGGACCTGTTGTAGAACTCGCGGCGTAGATGTGTGAATGCCAATTCCAGATTGGGCACCGCCGCAATCTTCTGCCACTCCGTGAGCCAATCCCGTGTTGCAGTGTTGCCCTGTGACATGGTGAACAAACGGTTGATGGCAAGTGCCGGCGCGTTGTCGACGATGAACCGCTTCTTCCACAGCCGTGTTAGTTCCTCCCATGTGATTTTGTCCTTCAAGTCCGGTACGTCGACGCCGTGAGAGGTTGCCAGGTGGCTCAACCAGGTCTGGCATCCGCCCTTCGAGTTGAGGAACAGGGCGCCGATGTACGCATGCTTGGCTACTGGCAGAATCCTGAGTTGCGTTGTGAATGCTTCCCACCAGAGGACCGGATCCTGCTGCGTGTAGTCGTCGAACTTGTCCAGTTGGAAAGTTGGCATCTTGTACATCTTCGGATTGTCATCCGCGTTCGTCGACTGCAGCTGCTGGACGTTGTGCAGCTGACTGCTGATGGTGGTCGGCGCAGCGAAGGTGCTGATGTCGCCGAGCATTGCCACTACGTGGTCAACGCGTTCCTCCAGTTGGCGGCTAGAGGATGCATTGCTGGAAGCCCCAGCAGCTGGTCCTGGTACAGCCTTCTCCAGGTCCAGCATTCGGGCATTGAGTGCCCGAGTTGCGTCCTCGTGGCTCTGCACTGTGTGGCGGAGCTTCGCCAACTCCTGATCCTGTTGCATCAGGTTCTGGTACTGCTTCTCCAACTCGGACTGTTGGTAGTTGCAAGTGTACAACAGCCGTGTCACGAGTTTGGAGAGAAACTCCTTATGCTGCTCTTCCGGTGTCGCGTCGTCGCCGTTGGGTTCAAAGTGCCAGAATTTGAGTCTGTCCACGCTGGCTGTTTCATGCCGCTGCAGCAGATCCCGGGCTTCCTTGCGGCGAGCCTGGGCTTCTGCGTCTGCTTCAGCTTGTAGCCGGAGCTTCTCTGCTGCTGCGGCTTCGTCAGCCTGTAGCTGGGCAGCCTTGACTGCCAACTGGCGTTGTTCTTCAGCCGCGATTAGTGCGAGCTGATTTTCGAACCGCTGTCGGTATTCAGCAATGGATTCATTTGCCAGTTGGCCTGGCATGCCCAGAAGTGAGCCCGTCATGTTGCTGACGTGGCACTGTGTCTGATGTGGCACTGCTGACGTGGCACTGCTTATGTGGCACTGTCTGATGTGGCATTGCCGACGTGGCACTGCTTACGTGGCACTGTCTGACGTGGCACTGCTGACGTGGCACTGCTTACATGGCACTGTGTCTGACTTGGCACTGCTGACGTGGCACTGTGTCTGACGTGTCACTGTAGCTGACGTGGCCTGCTGACGTGTCACTGTCTGACGTGGAAATGCATGCCAAGGGTGGGTGGGAGGGAAAACGCAGGTAGGAAACCAACCCAACAATACTTTCCTCCGGCCCTAATCAACAGATAAAATAAAAAATAAAAAAATAAAAGAGGACTTCTTCCTTTTCTTTTTTTTTTTGTATATATCTGTCGATCTATGATGAGTAGGATATGTGAGAAGAGTATTATGAACGAGATCTAGGCTAGGTTCCGCAAAGTTTCGGCTTTTACAAACTGCGATCTTGAATTTTTTTTTGCGAAATGGAGTAAA